AATGTTTAGGCCTAACTTAATACAGATAGACCAAATATGCTTTAAGTAGACAGTATACGTCAAGCTATTACAATGAGATGCATTGCAGCACTGTACTAGTTGATTTCTTTATTTAAGAGCATCCAGTCTGTCCCTAACTTTTTAAAAAGAAAAAAAAATTAACAAGATTTTGTTTCAACTTTATCTTCAATAAATAAAATCATGTAAAACAAAATTGGACTTATGAACCTTTGATTGACATTCCATTGTAATGTCATTCTCTCACAAATAAAAAAAAACCCACTTACAGTGTATCAGTCAAAGAGGACTGATCATTTCTTCAGGATGTTTTGCGCATACCCAAACTGGCCTTCGATAAAATATTATCAATGCGTAACTTTGTAGAAAAAGTCCTTCGACATAATTGTTGGATTGTTTATTGAGATCATTATGAAAAGAACCGCCATATATTTGTAAAATGTGAAAAAATAGTTCATGAAGTCTTCCAATATAATATTTGGATTGTTAATTGAGTTTTATATGAAATTTAAAGTGTACACTGTAAGTGCGTTGCGATTAAGTGTAGTCATATATTTATTCTCTCACAAATAAAAAACACACTTATCAGTCAAAGAGGACTGATCATTTCTTCAGGATGTTTTGCTCACACCCAAACTAGTCCTTCGATAAGATATTATCAGTGCGTAACTTTGTTGAAAAAGTCCTTTGACATAATGCTTTCGATATAATTACCTGATTGTTAATTGAGATTTATATGAAAGAGAACAGTCATATGTAAGTATCAAAATGTGCATTTTGATACCCCGAAACATTTAATCATATTTTAAGTTTATTTTGATTGGATGATTTGCTAGGCACTATTATGTGCTGCATCCGCTGCCTCCCTTTTTAGACTATTTCCTGGTTGATGTATTAATATTGCATGCTATGCACGACTAAAGCTTTTGGTTTGTGTCTGTGATTTTTTTCTTCATTATTATGAATCCACTACACAATCAATCATGTCTTATTGTTGCGTTTGCGTTTGCTTATCAAGGTTTGTATGCTTGAATCCATTTTCTATGTCGATTTATAGTGTCATATCTCAGCACAATGTTCAGTAAATATATATAATTATGCATGCTGTACCAGTATGTGCTGAATTTCAACCAAGTGGACATATGCGTAAACTTTTTTGTTTTTTTTAAATTAATGGTTTTAATAACAAATAGAGGTACTGTGAGCAATGAGCTCACTAAATGATACCCCCCGCCTCCCATATGAATATAATGACAGTGTCCATGTTTTGCTCTGGAAAATCAAAAATATATGTCAGATCAAAAAGTAAAATAGGAGATGCACAATGGCAATATGTAATTAAGAATCTGTGAAAGTTTCATTAAATTTCCTTCAGTGGTATGAGAGGAGTTGCGGATAAGAGATGGGTACCCCAAAGCGTAAGAGACGGACGGACGTACAGACGGACGGAAATACCGATTACTATATACCCTCCCACTTTTCAAGCGGGGGGTATAAATATAATGTAGAACAATTGAAAAAAAGGATCAAATACAAATTCAGAAAGTGAAAAACTGAACTAATTAATTAATTTACTTTTTGAAGTCGAGGTTAGATACACTTGCAGTGTAAGCCTACATGTATATAAGTTATCCATAAAACGTTCACACCTTATTTTATATTCTATGTTCCATATACTAGTAGTCTGCATTTCCTTTGCAGTAATTGGTCAAGATACCCAAAAAACCATCGTTGGCTGCATAAGTGACAATGTCACGTTGTCCTTTGATTTACCTGAGAAGAAGGACCGTACTGTGGAAAGCTATATTTGGTACAAACAGGATGTACCAGGGGATCCCAGCTTCGCCAAATACACTGTAGCTGAAAACAAGTTTGAAATCTACAGAGATGCCCAAGATCGACTCCTCCATAATCATAAAGATTCATCACAGCTAAGAAATTTAGTTTTATTGAATGTGAAGAAAAGTGATGAGTCTAAATATGTACTGGTAATTAATTATGTCAACGTCACACAACAAACATCGGAATATCTCTTACGATTGTCAGTAAAAGGTATGTAAAAGAGAAACGGTTTTAAAAAGTGTAATATTGATTTGATATGTCAAGTATAAGTCTCGGGAGGATTCACAAGAAAATGGATTTTTTTGTTTATACATATATGAGGTACATATTAAGGTTTATACACTTGATCGTGTAAGTTTCTTTATGGACAGTCTTTAACATTTGTTTGTTTTCTGTGTAATTTAATACCGCTGGTGGGTTTTCTTGGCGGGTGTAAAATCTGGCGTTTTGCCTGCTCTAAGGTTTGCTAATTATTTTTGCTAATTTATTTGAGCGGAGACAGGGATTAAACTCTTTGCAGTTGGAAACTCATAAGAGCATTGACCATTTTAGTGATTAAAATTTTAGCTGACTATCACAAAATAAGCCAAAATAAGCCAAAATTACCACCCTCGCTAACATAACCTGCTATAAGATAACATTCATACATTTTGAAAGCATTAATTTTATTTTTATAAGGTCACGACTTACTTTTGCTATTGATATAAATATTTTTCTTAGGTGTTTGCTTTGGAAAACCCGAACAAGTAGAGGGATGCACAGAATCAACATGTTTTACAGGAGAGAACGGACACCTTAAAATGGTATCATGTTTTACAACGAAATTATTAAGGAAGGGGGAGGGGGTTTATACCGAATCAAATAATGTTAAATGATTATTAGCCCTATTTCTCTTATTAGTAAAAGAAAATGTATAAGGATGGACAATTGCTGCTGAATTATATTATACTGAAGATTTATAAAAATAAATATCCAATGACAATGAAATTCTAAATGTTTAAGTATAAGTACACTAGTACATGTACTTAAAATAATTTATTCCAATAGGCCCTTGCCTTCGTAGGTCTCATTAGGAAATCTGATTTTAAACTTCCTGAGAGGAATTTTAAGTTTCATAAGTTGTTTATGAAAGTGTCATAAATCTTCCAGATTTACGATGACCAGGCAGGCGAGACACAAACCGTAAATGGTTACACAGTGGTAAGAAACTGTACGAGTGGTGTCTCTATTGGCTACTCCTGCTGTAATGCAGCCGGAGACTGTGAGCAACAAATGCTCATAGTACCCGAAGGTACGTTCATTATTGTATTTTATTTGAAACATAGCTTTGGGAATTTGGTTGTAAATGATTAAAGATCCACTTAGATTTTTTTTATGTAATCTTATTCACCATGAAGTGGACTATTAGTCAAACGAGAGTAATATGCTTTGTTTTATTTTTTCATTCCTATAAAATTTCACCATCTACTAAAAAAATGACCAATATTTATGCTAAAATTCATGAGTGCTATATTTATATGCAGTAAATTGTACTTTGCGAGTATGAGACACGAACTGAACTCATAGCTGAAGAAATTGCGCTCATAGTCACAGTGAGTGCTAGTTCAAAGTAGGAGAAAAACAGAAAGTATTCAAATATATATATATATATATATATATATATATATATATATATATATATATATATATATATATATATATATATATATATATATATATATGTAGACACTTGTATTTTAAAAATACTTAAAAACAAATGATATGATTTAATGGCAAAACCTCTATGGGTATATTTGTCATTCGATAACATGCTGCCATTTTTAGAAAAAAAAATTATTTAGCGAATGTATTTTTGAGGAAAATTATTTCAAAAATTAAAATCACACGTGAAGAAGCGGAGACATATATGCTTTTGAAGAAACTACATTGATAGAAAGATAACAAAGGGTTATTGTGAGTATTTTTACGCATGTCTGTACATGTACTACTCTTTTTTAAATATATGTCAGATATATATATAATATTGTTACCCTTGCATGAAAGATGCTATTTCTTTCCATGGTTCAAATTATTTATAAAGATGTTTAATAAAAGTACCTGCATTGTTGGTTAGAGTCATCAAATCACTTTTCTTATTCGCTTTAAAACTTTTAGCACAATCAAAACTAAAAATTGTTAACTTTAATCCAAATTTTGCACACCTATTGAAAATGAGTAATACGTAGCATTTTTTGTTACGAAGAAAAAAGTGAAGCTTATGATACCTCTTCTAAAATGAACTGCATATTGCGAAAGTGATAAATAATTTTGTTCTTGACAGCTTTTGTTTGTTTGTTTGTTTTTTTGTTGTTGCATTTTTGAGATATTGCTGTATGCCCAATTTAAACATTCGATATGTAAGTATCATTTTCTATGTGTTAATTACATTCACTTTCATTTTTCAAAATTTTGATAATTCTGTTTCAGCTTAACGAGGCCCGATCTAGTTGATCTGCGCATACGTTTTAACGCAGCGTCGACTCAGGCACGTCACAGTACCCTGGACTGCCGTCACAATTGAACATAATAACGTCACAATTAATATGACGTCAAATTGCGCTAAAATGTTTCGCTGATCTTGCTTACATGGTTGCTCTATAGAATATGCATTGAAATCTGGCATTTCTATTATTTTTTTTTTTAAATATTTAAATTAATAAACAACTTTGGAACCTAATTAATTTTGAGGGATCACTTTTTTGATACAGATTCATTAACTTTATCCCGTTTTATTTCAATTTGTGAGTTAAAAAAAACAAACATTTTAACTAAAAGTAAACGATTTTATTCTTTCTCTTTGAACATGTTGAAGTGTTTATACACACTCTTTTTATTGCGGATTGAAATATGCATGGATTATCTTCAGTTTTAAAAAAATAAAATAAGTCTATAAATCATTTAAATATTGAACCCCCGAAATATTTTATTTTTCGATAGATTACATGATATTAGTAAAAATCGCAATTTTGTCGCCTTTACCCCCCCCCCCCCCTCCTCCCGCTACCCCTTTTTTCCACGTAAAACAACGTCGCGTGATAAGAGAAAAATAAAGCATGGCGAGAAAATTATTTCATAATGTAAGAATTCTTTATTTTTTTAGAAATTAATACAGTATTGCAATCGTTTGTTGGTGTTATGTAAACCCATTGCGACCTATAAAATATGTAGTTGGGTAGAATAAATCCAAATTTTGTGTTTTGACATGCCCCCTTTTCACTGCAATAAAGGCTACCTCCAATTTTCTTTTCATTTTTTATAAGAACAATGAAAATTGCATGATATATGTGAAAAACAAAGAATTTCATCATGTATTTTTTTTTATTTGTAAATTTCTTTGTTTATTGAAGAGTTTGAGTATGTAATTGTGTATAAAAACACGAAAAATGGTCCATATTTTGACAGTGCCCCCATTTCACTACAATAAAGGCAAGGTCACAAAATTTCATTCTATTTGCTCTTAGCATAATACATACAAATTTATTTCCAAGAATCAAAATTTTTTATCATTCCGTTTTCGTAATATCCAACTAGATTGGGCCTCGTTAAAATGGGGGCTCTTCACATGGAACTGGAGTTAGTCTGGTATTCGGAACTTTGATAGGAATTGAACTTATCATTATCACTACGTGTCCTTAGTGACACAGAAGTGAATAATTTTGGTAAGCCTATCTTTGAGTACTTTCCAATTGTTGAAGTACGAGGGTTGATCCAAAAGTAATGTCACAATTTCAATAAAATTGCTACCAGTCGACGTACAACAACATAATTATAAAAGATGGAAGCTATATTTATTTCAAATAAGACCTGAAAATTTTAATTTAACGTGAATAATACTTTTATCAAGAGGCCCACGGGCCTTATAGGTCACCTGAGTATTGTGTACCAACTTTCAAAGAATTAAATTCTTGTTCGTGTTTTTAACCAGAGGCCATGAAATTCACAATTTTGGAAGAGGCACTCTTGCTCAACATAACTATGTACTTAGCTAGTTTAATACCCAGAAGCAGAGAAGAAGATTTTCAGAGAATTAATGCATTTTCACTATGGGATCAATAGAGCCCCGCCCTAACACCAGAACCCCTGACCCTGGGGCCATAAAATTCACAAATTTGGAAGAAGCACTCTTGCTCAACATGTCTATGTACTTATTTAGTTTGATACACAGAAGCAGAGAAGAAGATTTTCAAAGAATTAATGTATTTTCACTGTATGATCAATAGAGCTCCGCCCTAACACCAGAACCCCTGACCCTGGGGCCATAAAATTCACAGTTTTGGAAGAGGCATTCTTGCTCAACAAAACTATGTACTTAGTTAGTTTATTTAATACCCAGAAGCAGAGAAGAAGATTTTCAAAGAATAAATACATTTTCACTATATGATCAATAGAGCCCCGCCCTAACACTAGGAACCCCCTGACCCTGGGGCCATAAAATTCACAATTTTGGAAGAGGCACTCTTGTTCATCATAACTATGTACTTAGTTAGTTTATTTAATTCCCAGGAGCAGAGAAGAAGAAATTCAAAGAAATAATTATGCATTTTCACTTTATAATCTATATAACCCCGCTCTAGCTCTAGAACCCCTGACCCTGGGGCCATGAATTTCACAATTTTGGTAGAGGACTGAATGCTCATTACATTCATGCCAACAGTTTGCCTGCTTAATGTCCAGGAGTAAAGAAGATTTTTGAAGATTGCAATAATTTTAGTGGTTTGGCCCCACACCTCAGGCCCCAGGGGTAGGCGACCATTAAATTCACAATTTATGTTTCCCTTCACCTATAGATGCTGTATACCAAATTTGGTAGAAATTGGTTCAGTAGTTTCAGAGAAGAAGCTGAAAATATTCAAATGTTAACACACGACACACGACGGACGACACGGACGAAAACAGATAGCAATAGGTCACCTGAGTTACTCAGGTGACCTAAAAATATAGAATTATATATACGATATGCTTATTTGGTAGTTGCCGCATCTAAATAACGTCAGGCCATGGTTACTCGCCGTCATACTTAAAACGTTTCCCAATAAAATTATTTGAGATTCTCGAATATGTTCTTAAATGAATTCTTGGTAGCCATTGTGCATTCACTCTTTTTCATAACACAATCCTTTGTCAAAATTCCATGAACAGTATAATAAAACAGTGTCCTAATACATTTACATAACAAATACACAAATGTCTTTTGACAACATCAGACACCATGTTAAACGTTTCCTTCCGACCTCTCTTCTTTCAGCCTTCCTGTCTTCTGATAATAATTCAGTGACCCATCACACTCCCTAAAATCGCTGAAATCATCTATAAACAAGACTCTTCTTTCCTTTTTTATCATTGTGAGTCATTAATCAGTGTACTTGTCTACATACTGGTAATTTCCCCATTTTGATGTAAAAATGCATAATTAACTGCTCGTTACGTCCCCCCTTTTACACTTCCTTCGTACAATGCATCATGCAGAGTCAAACACAATTTTTATGCCCCCGTAAACGAAGTTTCGTAGGTATATAGTTTTTTTTCATGTCCCTCCGTCTGTCTGTCTCTCTGTTTGTCTGTTTGTCCGCAAAAACTTTAACCTTGCCCATAACTTTTGATTTAGTGGAGCTATGACTTTCATATTTCACATGTGTATTCTTTGTGACAAGACCTTTCTTTGGGTACCACCAAATTTGACATTTTTACCTTGGAGTTTGATCCATTTTAACACAAAAATTTTAAACTTTTACTTCGGCCATATCTTTCGAACAGTAGATACCAGGACATTTATACTTCACATATGTATTTTTTGTTGAAAGACCTTTCATTGGATACCAACAACCTTGACCCTTTCACCTTGACCTTGTAGATTTCCGAACTTGTAAGAAAACTTTAACCTTGGCCATAACTTTTGAATGGTAAAGGATAGGGCTTTCATACTTCATATATGTAATTCTTGTGAAAATACCCTTTATAGGATACCCAGATCTTTGACTCTTTGACCTTGGAGTTTGACCTACTTTTAAAAAGCAAACCTTAACTATATCTTTTAAAGGGTTAGGGCTAGTGTTTTCATATTTTACATAGTTAATCCTTGTGACAAGACCTTTCATTTGATAACAAGAACTTTGACCCTTTGACCTTGACCTTGGAGTTTGACATACTTTAAAAAAATTAACCATGGCCATAACTTCTGAACGGTTAGGGGAAAAGCTTCCATACTCTACATAAGTATTCTATGTGGCCAGACCTTTCATTGGATACCAATTACTTTGACTTTTTGACCTCGACCTTGGAGATTTTTGTACTTATAAAAAAAAAAAAACATTAACCTTGGCCATAACTTTTGATTTGAACAATAAGGGCTAGTGATCTCATACTTCACTTTTGTAATCCTTGTGAGAAGACCCTTCATAAGTTACCAAGAACTTTGAACTTTTATCCTTGACTTTGGAGTTTGACCTACTTTTCAAAAGCAAACCTTGACCATTACTTTTAAAGGGTTAGGGCTAGTGCTTTCATGCTTTTCATATTCAGTTCTTGTGACAAATCCTTTCATTTGATAGCAAGACCTTTGACATTGATCTTGAAGTTTGACCTCTTTTTAAAAAAAAAATTAACCGTGGCCATAACTTCTGAATGGTTAGGGCTAGGGCTTTCATAATTTACATATGCATTTTTGTGGCAAGACTTTCATTGGATACCATTGACCTTGTCCTTGAAGAGTTCAGTACTTATGAAAAAACTTTAACCTTGGCCTACTTTCATAATTCACAATTGTATTTCCAGTTAAAATACCCTACTTTTGCTACCAATATATTAAATTTGCATTAAAGAAAAATTTAATCTTTGCTATGTTGTCATACAGGAACAACAGTGTTTCACAAACACATCTTGTTTTTTGTTGTTATTATTTCATTTAATTTTTTTTAAGGAAGGAGTTAATGATACAGTGCTCCTACCCCACTGATAATCAGTGTGAGAAGTACCACGTGAATATCCAGTTTTTAGCTCACCTAAGCAGAAGGCTCAAGTGAGCTTTTCTGATCACATTTTGTCCGTAGTCCGTCCGTCCGTCTGTCTGACCAGCTGTCCGTCCGTCCGTCTGTCTGTAAACTTTTCAAACTTTCGACTTCTTCTCAAGAACTACTGGGCCAATTTTAACCAAACTTGGTACAAAACATCCTTGGGTATAGGGAAATTTAAATTGTTAAAATGAAGGGCCAAGTCCTCTCACAAGGGGAGATAATCAAGAAAAAACAAAAATAGAGTGGGTTCATTAAAAAATCATCTTCTCAAGAACCACTGGGCCAGAAAAGCTGAAACGTATTTGGAAGCATCCTGGGATAGTGTAGATTCTAAATTGTTCACAACACGACCCCCGGGGGTTGGGTGGGGCCACAATAGGGAATCGAAGTTTTACATTGAAATATATAGAAAAAAAACTTTAAAAAATCATCTTCTCAAGAACGACTTGGCAAGAAAAGCTGAAACTTATGTGGAAGCATCCTGGAATAGTTGATATTCTAAATTGTTCAGATCATGACCCCTGGGGGTTGGGCGGGGCCACAATAGGGAATCAAAGATTTACATAGAAATATATAGAAAAAAGATCTTCTGAAGAACTACTTGGCCAGAAAAGCTGAAACATATGTGGAAGCATCCTGTGGTAGTATAGATTCTAATTTATTATAGGGAATCAAAGTTTTACACAGAAATATATAGGAAAAATCTTTAAATATCTTCTTCTCAAAAAAAACTTGGCCAGAAAAGCTGAAACTTAAGTGGAAGCATCCTGGTGTTGTGTAGATTTTGAATTGTCCAAATTATGACCCTTGGGGTAAGATGGGGTCACAATAGATATTACAAGGGCGAAATCTGGTTAAGAATAGCGTGGACACAGTTTCTCAGGTGAGCAGTGTGGCCTATGGGCCTCTTGTTCATGGTTATAATACTTGGCGCATGCATGTTCCTTAGTTATTGATAACTTTTTATGCTGTTGACAGCTATTTCAAAATGGAGCCTTGGTTCTTTTTATTGCCTCACCTAAGCTGAGACAAAGGCTCAACTCTGCATTTCTGATGGAAGGGTGTCCAGCTTTTATCTGCCTTGTGTCATGTGTAAATTGCCACATCTTAAAAAAAATCTCCAGAACGAATTTCAAAGCTTTATGAGTATACAATCAAAATTGACCAAAGCATGGGACCCAAGGGCAACAGTTAGGGCCGATGGGATATATTACATGGTCCTTGACAAGTCATTTATGGCTTAAGAAGTACGTGTTCTCATAACAGCCTCACCGTAACAGAGAAAAATAGGTTACTCAAGTGAGCATTGTGGTTCTTATAGGTATCTTTTCAGCTGAATTTATTATTTATATTTAAGTAACACTACAACAAATTGTAGTTTTATATACCATGTTTACTGTGTGGGAGTTGAGAAAGATAAACATTAGCAAGTTACAATTAGTAGCCTATAAACTTTAAATTAATTAAAACTTAACATCTATTTAGTGTTTGGCCGAAGGACTTACTAATGTCAAACGTGTAATAATATTTCACTGGTTTTGGTCCAAGTTGAATAGTTTTCTGTAAATTGTGTATGAAAATACATACTAGTATGCATCAACTACATACGATTAAACTAGGTTTTGTGTGAAAGGTTAAAACGAAGAACAGAATGAAGCCTAGTCTTACACCTTAACAGCTTTTCTATGGAGTGAGGGATAAATGTTATTCGTGTCAATGGTATGATGTACATAGCCTTCAAAGTACGTATGTTTATTCTTTATTTGTGTTAAACACACAGAAAGAATTAAGGTTAATTTATCCATGACGATTTAATATTTCATGTTATTTCAAGAGATATTTTTTATGTTCATAATAAAAAGAGCTCTGATATTTTAATTATTAATTGATGACAAATGAACATTTTTTTTTAATTCAAACAATCTTTTACATGTATTAGCTAATCAATGTTGTATGATATGTTTGTAAACATAAATGTCTGCAGGAATCGAGGGCTAACATACTACTACCTTTCAATTTGGGAATTACAGTAAATGTTGTTAATGTTTTTATACATGAAGCTTACAATTTTATACCTTAAGTATAAGTATGTAAAACAACCATTTCATTTACGAAACATGCTTATCTTGACTTATATTTTTAACAAGTAGTATCAAGTTATCAATGAACTTGGAGAAATATAAACTTTACAAAAGTATAGGATGTTACTGCACACAGGGAAATTTTCGCCCCCGTTTCATTTTCACCCCTTTCGCCCTGTCCTTATTTTGGCGAATTTAAAACGGTGCGAATTCAAAGAATACAATACAGTATAATATCTTAAACTAAAATACGACTGGGTGAATTTAAAACTGGGCAAAACTGTTTGCTGATGTTAAAGGGCGAAAATAACACGGGGCGAAAATAACCCTATATACAGGATGTCCATGGTTTATCATAAACTCAGTAGAATATAATCTGCATCTTAAGTTAATGGGGAGTACATGTATTGAGTCAGTTTCAGAATAAAAGTAAAGAAGATAAAAATAATTTATTAATTTTTGCTAGAGATTTTCCTGCAAAAAAAAAACAAAAAAAAAAAAAACCCTGACTTGGAAATTTCTGTTGCTTTCTAAATGCAAAGTCTGTGTTTTCTTTCCTTTAATTTCAAAAATGATATGTTAAATGTCAAGGATTTGCTGAAATCAAAAGTTGCTTGGTTTTATGTTTTACTGGAAGGGAGGGGGTTGATTAACTCAGTACATGTACTTTTAAAAAAACACGTAGGTTAAAATGAGATGATGCAATTAAGTCAGATTGAAATTTGTAAATATCAAAAACTACTAAAATTGTGGTGCCTTGAACATGTTGGGCCTCTCCGGATGGGTGAAACGATATCGAAGGGCCGTTAAACAGACTAACCTAGCAATTAAACACCTTACATAGTCAGTAACAATGAAGATATTTAATTGCAGTAACATTATACATTTATTTACCCAGTTCGAGGGTAACATGCGTTTTGACGGACCCAAGAACCAAACTGTCTGTCTGAGACCGTTAAGCCGAAGGCAGACAGTTCGGTTCGTGGGTGGACAAAACGCATTTTGCACGAAAACACAGTCAATAAATGTTTTGTTATACCTTTCATTTTAATTTTTTTCATACATGTATTTTGTACTCTCTTTCGTGATGTAACATCAGGTCCGTCACTTTTGAACACCAACGAATGAAAATGAGATTAAGCTCCGCCCATTGTGACAAGCGGTCCAACATCTCATCGACTGGTCCAACATCTCAATCAGCGGTCAAACATCGTTATTTCCCGATCATGACAAGGAGCACAGGGCGGATGTGATCGGTCGGCAGGAGATGCTTAGTCCTCCATGACACCTTATCCCATGTTTTGGAGGTCCGTGTTTGCTCTACTCCTATATTTTATGTTTAATGGACTTTTGAACTCGAAAAATGTTAGTTATCTCCCCATATTTCATTCATGTACTAGTATTGTTCCATGTCACATAAATGTGATCCTACTGATATGATTGTAAATGCCCCCATTGGCCCTTGATTAGTAAATAATTCGTATTCTGAATTCGGAAATAAGTGAAATATATTTTATTATTCACTCAAAAAATCACTTGATAAAAGGAGTGATACTAGTAGTGAAAGGTAAATGAAGGGGAAATGTGTCAGGCTTTATCTATAGCAGCTGATAGTAGAATGAGATGTTCGATCGAATGAATTTAAATGCTTGCTTCCGAGTGCACTGTTCAATGATTCTTTGTTTTATATTGGGTATAAACTTAATAGTAATAAAAGGTGTTGATTTGAATCTTTATATTTTGTAATGTTTGACAATTTCAGATCGGACAATGTCCAAGAACTTGCTGCAACATTGCAACAGGAATGGAATAAACTCCCCCAAAATGACCTTGGCCGTCTCGTTAGGAGTATGCCACGCCGATTCGGAGTTTGTCAGGCTAGCCGAGAGGGGTTTACCCTGATTTTGTTTCACAATGGGGGTACATTTGGTGTGTGACCCTGTGTTCGTTTCTATCCTTATTCTTGAGAAACTGTCCTTTTCTGACTGAACACAGGATTTCGAATAAATTGACAAATGTGTCCTTAAATGTTTTTGTGAGTTTATAACCTGCATTTCATTGTCCATGTAGATCCAATATCCCCTACTTTTTTCTTAAACTAGTATAACTGGTAACACCATCTCACAAAGAAAAAAAAAAGCCAACCCCCGACCCCCCAAAAAAAAAAAAGAAATACAAACAAAACAAAATGTAGTTTCCGAAGTACATACACGTATCTGACATCATAACAAAAAGTCTATTTTTGCAATGCAGTTTTTAATTTCATATTTCATTACATATTTAACTTGAACTTGTACAATATTGTTTAAAGAATTTTGTAAAGAGAAGACAACGGAACTTTAAATAGCAGATTTTAAAAATATATATAATTTATAGTCAAAGAAGAATTTAGAATATGGTATGAATTTTGTCAGCAATGTTGGCCACAGAGCTTTTTTTCTGCTCTGTAGCCAATAGTCTTGAAAATAAAAAAACACGTCCAAATAAAAAAAAGATCCAATAAAATGCCAATCTAAAATACGGTATTAAATAGTTCCGTTGTCTTCTCCTTGGTTTCCAAAACGAAAGAAAAAAACAATCACATTATTTTATAAAAACGAATAAATAATATGAGCAGGCTAGACGATCTTCATTCCTCACTGTTTTTCCTGCAATTGAAAGCAATGTTAGTTAAACATTTTGATGAATTAAGACCAGACGTCATATATCTCAATAATATTTAGAATAAGAAATTATGACTGAATTATATCTACATAAATCGTCGTCTTTCAATGCCTTGCATGGAACACACGACCCGTGGTTCAAAATGTAATGAACTCTGTCAGAACGAAGATTGTACGTTGTGGATGGAAGTGATTGTTTTCAACAAGACAAGTCAAATTTATTGTAAGACGCACTTGTTACTAAGTGTCTTTTCAACGATTGTCGTGGTTTTTATGCGCCGCAATCGATAGATCCGGGGCGTTTATTGTTTTTGTCCTGTCTGTATGTTTGTCTGCAAATTTTAATATTAGCCATATGTTTTGAACCGTGAAAGATGGAGACTTCATGTTTTGTATGCATACTCCACTCTTTCAAATGACACCAAGGTCAATGACCTTGTGACCCTAGCGGTGACATGTATGTTAAAATCGGTTTTTATCTGCAAACTTTAACCTTTGCCATAATTTTTGAACCGTGAAAGAAAAAGACTTAATATTTGGTATGCATACTCCACTAATTAAGCTCTTTCAAATGACATTAAGGCCAATGACCTTGTGACCTATATGCTAAAAATAGCTTTTTTAAACCTTCACCATAACTTTTGAACTATGATGGGTAGATACTTTATATTTGATATGCATACTCCACTAATAAAATTATTTCAAATGACTCCAAGGTCAATGACCTTGAGACCTTGACTGTGACCTATTTGCTAAAAATAGGTTTTTATCCTAAATCATAAACTTTGCTAAAATTATGACCGTTTTTTTTTAACTTTAGGCTTTTAATAACAGAAAAAAATATTTCAATATTTTTTTTTATCAATCCTTATACATGTAATTGATATGTTGGAAAAGGGAGGGGGAATTAATCTAACTTCAGTCGTAAATGAGCAGATTTTCATGTTTCATTTATAATATAAAATAACCATTTGAACAATGTATCCTTCAACATACCTTCCACAACAAAATATATTCCTTAGGAAATTTCTGAATCTCTTCATTTTCTGAAAGGTCAAATGAAAATTTAAAGTTTTAAAATTGAAGTGTTAATGAGCTTAAGGATAAAACAAAAATCAAATATTATGATCTGTAATTTAACAACATTGAAAGAAAACAAGTCAACAAATGTCAATAAATGAACACCTACTCCTAAACGTTTTGGTTTAGCTTCATCGTCTAATTTATTGTCATTCCTCACTTCTCCACCTGTGTAACTGTTTCCCTTATCCTCAACCCACTGAACAGACAACGTGGGAGTCTAGTCAGATGGAAAACAAATTTCAGTTAATGTGAATTCATAATTTGTTTAACAATTCATTTTTAGTTCTATAGTTCAAGTACCTTTACACGCATCCGCTTCCGGCAACAGTGACAGCAGAGAAGATATTTCAATGGCGTCACAC